TTTTCAGCCAGCCTGATGACCCGAGTTTGATTCCCTGAACCCACGGGGTAGAAGGAGAGGACCAACTCAACCAAGCCGTGCTCTGACCTCCACAAGCACGCCGTCGATAAACCAAGGTAACGAAACCATTTTAAAGCTCAGCCCAAGGACCCAACCGAGGCTTTGTCACCTTCCCACACATCTGCAGACACCGCCGGTGTCACCACAGGCCAGCCCCTTTGTGCATGCTCCCTCTCTGGACCACAGCCAGCAGGCAGGCAGGGAAGCATCTGGTATGGAATGCTGCTTCCCAGGATGATGAGCCAAACCAGGTGTCTGAGGGAGGAAAGAGCCCTGCAGCCAGGAGGCGTTCCGTCTCTATCCAGGCAGCAACCCTGGCCTCCGGGCCCCGGGTGCAGACGCGATAAGGTCTCCCTCCAGCCAGCGGCATCCCAGCCCTCCACGGCTCACAGCCTTCACAAACAGCACGTCCTCCTTAGGCGTCTTCGGAGGGTCAGTTGAGAAGTGGGTCTGCCCAGGTTAAAGGTCACCAAGGTGAAAGTTGACACCAAAAGACACAGGCCCTCAGCTCCATGTCCCTTTGGTGATATCTGGAGTTTCTCGGGCAAAAGGTTAAAATCAAGGCAGAGGAATGATACTCTCCAGACACTACCTGGGTTAGGAAAAGAGAACCAGGTTCTAGTCGCATCCTTCTAGGGAAGTCTGACTTGGAAGCAGTCACCGAGGCTCTGGCAATGTTTCCTATGGAACCAGTAAGTCAGACTGACCGATTCTACGGGATTCCTAACTCAAGGCCCCCTCGCAGCTCTCTGCCATTCATGGTAGTGGAGGCCTTGCTGTTCACCTGCCTGGTTACCCCTTTAGATGGAACATGCCCCTCACATCCAAAGACCCCACCTACCAGAGTCCAGGTAGCCACCAGCTGGGATTACCGTCAGCACATCAGTAGTTATGGAAGGCCTGGCCAGTGAACACATCCTTCCACTCTTGGTAGTTCCACTGGAGAATTCCAGGGGTCCCAACACAGAAAGAACACTCTGAACTCTGCCCAGCCCACTGGATGAAGCCTCTCTGCTTCCCAAGCACAGCAAAGTCTCCAAGGTACCTGCTCAGGGAAGTGACCAAAAGCAGAGACTGTCCCATGACTGCTTCTCTTAGCCTCTCTCCAGAAAGGACTCATAAGCAAAGAAAGTCCTTGAGGGACCCTGCAACTGGGACAAGACATGGAGCCTGTTTGTGGGAGGCGCTAGTACGCTGGCAAAAAGAAACAGACTCCAGAGCGCCAACCATGTGAACAAGCATGAGACAACGTGAGTGAATGCACTGTACACCACTGTCTCCCAGAGGGGACCCACAGGGAACCCACAGATGGGGCCAACAAGCCCAGCTGTTCAGAAGCCAGGTGCCCCTCCATGGGCACAGCTGGAGAGTGACAACATCCCCCCTTGCTTCATGGAGTAGTAGTCAGACCTCTTGAGGGCCTGCCAGAGACAGGGCACGAGATTCTACCCCATGACACAGCCCCGCAACTTCATTCCAGAAGTCTCCTGCCTGCCCTTTCCTTTTTGACAGGGGAAATGTGTGTGATGAAGTTGGTGGAGCTTCAGTAAATCCTTAGAGGTTGAGAGGAGGCCAGCACACTGCTGGGCAGGCAGGGGGTGAACATTAAACCTTGGCTCCTTTCTCCTCCTCTTAAATGTAGTACTGGAGATTTAAATACAGGGTCTTACGGATACAAGGCAAGTGTTCCATCACAGAGTTACACTCCCCACCCCGTTTAACTCCCTTTTCGACCTGGACTGCTCCACAGAGCAAAGTCATCAGCAGGTAGCATATCATCATGACCTGGGACCTTCACAAGCAGCCTGTCTCTGGTCAGGGTCTCACAGGGGACATCCCACACGCTGTTGCTCTCATCAAGAGTTTTTAGCGAAGAAGGGCCAAAGTGGGCTGGGCATCTTGAGATTCTGCCAGAAGTCTGATAGAGTTGTATAAGCCAAGCTCTTTAGCCAGACACCTGTGATCCTGGCACTCAAGAGACAGAGACAGGAGACTAGCCACGAGTTCAAAAACAGCCTAATCTGTATGCTGAGTTCAGCCAGGGCTACATAAGACCTAGGTTACACACACACACACACACACACACACACACACACACACACACACACACAATCAGAAATCTGGGGCTGGAAAGGGGGCTCAACAAGAAGTTAAAAGAATTTGCTGCCCTTGCACAGAATTCAAGTTCATTTCTCAGCATCCACCAGACAGTTAACCTGCAACTCCAGTACCAGGGCATCTGATGCCCTCTTCTGGCCTCCTCAGGCTCCTGCACACATGTGGTGCACATAAAGTCACACAGAAACACTTTAAAAAAAAATCAGAAACTAAAGAGGACATTGAGACTAGCCCAAGTTAGGTGCCTTTCTACATGCTGCTGGGGTGAGCTGCCCTGATCCAGCCTTCTGGGATTACCTCCAGCCATCACCTGGGGAAAATCAATTCTATGTGCTTCTTCTCCTAAAGGCACCCTGTGCATCGATGTCACCAGGCCCCAACCAGAGAAAGTTTATAGGTGGACTTTTGGTAGCAGGGCAGACAGACTCCATCAGACCCTACAGCTGAAAGCACTCCATCTCCACTTTACAGAGGGGAAGGTTGAGAGAAGTTATCAAGCTTGCCCAAGGTCGACAGAAACAGGACCAACTACAAAGCCGTGTGGGCCTTCTGTTCCTCAGCACACCGCGGTCAAGATGCTCACAAGAGGAAAGGCAGCTCCTACACAAGCTGTCCAGTACATCTGGTTTTTAGTGCTGTTCTTAAACAGGGACATCTACACAGAAGAGCATATACAAATGTTTAACTTAACCCAACTGAGTGTGTGTGTGTGTGTGTGTGTGTGCGCGTGCGCGCACGCACACGCGCACACGCACACACACCGTCTAAACCACAACAGAATGCAGAGCTTTTCAGAAACAGCCTGAAGGGAACCACCCAACCTCTTCCAAGCAGATGGGGAAGCTGAGGCCCCAGGGATGAAGTGATTCACCCAAACTAGCTGGTAACAGTCCCAGGGAACCAGTTCCGAGGTCAAAATTCCCATTTGAAATGTCACCCAAAGTCTTGTCTTTTCATGGACCAGAAAGACCCTTCAAATACACTGCAAAGAACAGGGCATGTGTCCTGTTCATACTGCACATGACCCCTGGGCCTTTGAATACCACCAGCGATGACCTCACAATGCACCCAGTAGGGAGGCTGCTGCCTAAACAGCTCAGAGGCCTAACAGCTGGAGGCTCTGGGGTATCCTAATGCCACAACTTTGTCAACATTAGAAAACAAAGAAAATTGGCAGAGAATAAAGAGTAAGCCATTCTCCATACACACTGGGATTCAGGAGCACCTCAAAGGGACATGGGGAGGACCAAAGGCCAACATAGAACATTCTCTCTGCCCAACAACGCATCTTGGCTTTCTTCTTTGCATTGGTTCTGGGTTTCTTATTTAATAAGACGGTTGGTTACATCTACAAACAGCTCAAGACATACACTGCTGGACAAGACCCCGGAACTAAGACACACAGGCCTCCTATTGTCTCAGCTTAAACACTGAACTTTGTGGGGCACACACACTCAGCTGTGTTCAAGAAATCCACACGCAGAAAAGCCGGGTGCAGAGCTTTGTGGGTTTGTTTTTTAAGCAAAGCCCTGGTCGGTCCTGCTATAGCAACTGTAACAAAAAAAAACAATAATAATAGCCAGCCCTGGTTGGAGTCTCCCAGTGTCCCTGGCTTTGTGGCTTTTCTGAAAATACAGCTAAGGGAGAGTCACCCTGAGCATTTTGGATCAAGCAAGGATTCAGGCTTGTGGTGTGAAGGAGGGAGGACTGGTCTTGTAATAATTACAGCAATCACTGGCTGGCTTTATGACAGCTGGCAGATGCAATTAGCAACGGTGTGTGTGTGTGTGTGTGTGTGTGTGTGTGTGTGTGTGATCACATATCTAATAAAACAGACATCCTCAGACCTACAGAAGCGCAGATAAGACAATGCCAATCGAGGAAAGACCCTTCTTCAGGACAGAGCTATTAACTGACCCCTGAACTTTCAAAGGTCTTCCCAGTGTGCTGGGAAGGCACTAGTTTTTCCTCCAGTGTGTAAGGGGTGGGGGAGCTCCCCCTTCTGAAATCCCAACCACCTTGCTGGCTGGTCCTTCCAAATCCTTTTAATGCTGCACTTCCCAGCTATAATTTGAGAGAAGACAGCTCACACATCTTATTTTTCATCGCACTCCAGGTCATCTGTCAGCAACCCCCCCCCTTTAAGTAGTGTGTTCTTACCAAAGGTTCCCCTCCCCAGTATAATCCTCCCTAGGCCAAAGCCCAACGTTTGGGGTGGCGTGGGGAAGTCAATGGGTAATTTCAATTAAGCAGTGAACTGCTATGACATCGCGAAAGAAAAGCACCCCAACGCCTCAACAGCAAAAATGCTGCTTCAGCAAACACTTTTTGAAAAGTGGCACACAAGACCTGGTGGAAAGGAAAGGAAACAGGACAAAAAGAGTGGGTAGTGAGGGAAAGTCAGTGCCACCGGGCGACGCTCACACTTCAGGGGACGTCCCCCCATCACCCCAGCCCACGCTACCGGGCTTAAGCACACCGAGAAAAGTCCAGCGCGTGATTCAGTGGGACAATGACTACTATGGGCACTGGAAATGGGGTGAGGGCGGAGAGGGGTTTGCAGTGGGATGCCCGCGAGCATCCTACCCGGCACGCGGGTTCTAGAGCCTCCATCCAGGCCCCCACTATAACACCCCTTCCCCCAAATCCTTCCAAGGTGAGCGCTGGTCGTAGGTCCTCAAGCCACCGCATCGGCGAGCTCAGGCAAGGGAGGAAGACTCTAGCCAGCAGACCCGGCTGCAGGATGCAACTCGGGAAGGAAAGCAGCGGGGCGGCTCCCGGGGCACAGCCGGATCGGGATCACGAGCGCCGCGGCCCCTTACCTCCAGGGTCCGGATCTCCTGCTGCGTGAGGTCGTTGGACACAGAGCACTTGGTGCGCAGCCCGCGCAGACTGCCGATGGAGATATCGATGAGCTTCTGCAGCTGACCGCACTGCTGCAGCGCCCGGCTGGCCGCGGCCCCTGCGCCCCCGTCCGCGGCCGCCGCGGCGCCCCCGCCACCGCCCTCCTTCTTCTCACCCATCGCCGCCGCGCGCAACGCCGCTCTATCCATGCCTCGGCATCGGGGCCGCGGGGAGCCGAGGCGAGGAGCCCGGGAGCACGGGCGCCTCGGCAAAAGAGCCTTAAACCGGGAGGGCTACACTAAAAGCGCCCCCTCGGCGCCGCCAGATCCTGAAGTCCTAAGAGCCGGCCGCCCAGTCCGCTCCTCCCGCCGCCCAAACGCGGCGGCAAAGCGAAAGCCTCCGCGACCCGACGGCTGCGGTTGCCGGAGCCTTTAAGCGGCCGCGGGGGCTGGATCGAGGCCGCGGGGCGTGCTGGGACTTGTAGTCCGCGCCGCGCCATCTGCCTCCTGGCCCGCGCCCTCGGGGCCCCGCCCGCACTCTGGCCCCGCCTGCCGCCTAGGAGGGGGATCCTCTGCGCCTGCTCCAATTCCTGCGCATCGTGGTCTTGGGAGCCTGGTTCCCCATCCTCCTCAGTTCCTTCACTCCCATCTTCCACTACTACCACCTTCTCACACACGCAAGCGCACACACATGAGTAGCTTCCCACGACCGGCGAATGGGGTGGGGCAGGGGCTGATGGTTCACACTCAGATGAGCCCTGTAAAGTGGGATATTGTATGGGAATGCGCTAAGGATGTAGCTCAGCGGCAGAACATTTGCCTGGCAATCATAAGGCCCTAGGTTTGATTCCCCAGCACTATCGAAGGAAAAGGGAAAGAACACCTCCACCCCCCACCCACATCTAGTTCTCACAACACTTGACCCTGAGTTGTGCTTGTGTTCGCATAGACCTTGACCCTGAACGGTCTATACTAAAGTTAACGGACAGGCAAGGAGAAAGGACTTTCTTCTGCGTTCCATTTACTCAACAAAGTAAGTTTAGAATCTCACACCCTGCAGATGACACGTGGACAGCACATTAATCAGTTAAACACTTCTAAGAGTTTTCGGAGCAGAGAGAACCTGAGTTCAAATTTGATTTCCACCACTCCACTGCTTGTTATGTGAACTTAGGCAAATGGCTCTTCTCCGGGTTTCCCCTTCACATCAGAAGAGGTCACAGCCACCTAACCGGGGTTTCTAAAAGGGAGATTATGTTTGCACAGCACCCAGATTAATTATTGGCATCTGTGGTCATGTATAAACGTTAGCTCCTTGCTAAACTCAGACTTCCTGAATGAGATCCTGAACCCAAGCAGTCAGTGGCTACAGGGGTGGTATTTCCCAGTACTTCCCAACCCAGCATTCAAGCCTCGCCACACCTGTTCACTCTCCTCTCCTATCAGTCTGTCTCATCTACCAATTTTTTTAAAAAAGGGAAAATGAAACCAAGTGTGGTGTCACACATGTTTAATTCCAGCACTCCAGAGGCAGAGGCAGGAGGATCTCCATGAGTTCAAGACCAACCTAGATCTACATAGTAAATTCAAGACCAGCTTGGGTCATATATCTATCTAGTCAGGTCTTGCCTCAAAGGGAGAGTGGTGGGGTGGAGAGATGGCTCACCAGTTAAGAGCACTTGCTCCTGCAGAGGATCCAGCCAATAGCTCACAATCCACCGGTAACTCCAGTTCTAGGGTCTCTGAAGTCTTTTAAGCTATGTAGGCACCAAGTAGTCACATGGTGCACATACATACATGCAGGCAAAACACTCAAACACATAAAATAAGATGAACCTAACACAGCAAAACAAAATCACTGTTACAGCAAGGTGTGGTAGCTTATGCCTATAATGCCAGCACTCTAGAGGCTGAGGCAGGAGGATTCCTCACTTGAGACCAGCCTAAGCTATATAGTGAGACCCTGTCTAAAGAATGAGGATGATACAGCAATCCCCCTCGGCATGAACAAGCGCCCTGTGCTGTACTTACCAATCCCCCAGCCCTGACTATCACCTTAGCCCCACTCCAGACCCTGCATTTACCCTGAAATAAAACTGGGATGGTGCTTTTTCAAGCTTGAGCAAGCATCACAATCAACCAGAGGACTTGTTTATCCTTGGATGATAGCCCCAGAGCCTGTAGTTTCCTGATCCATAGATCCGAGGCTGGGTCTTGAGAATTTGCGTTTCTAGCACACTCTTGGGTGGTACTGATGCTGCTAGTGTGGATACCATGCTTTAAGAAGTCACGGTGCAGGACAGCTGTTTAGCTTGACCTGTTTAAGGGCCCCCTGGCAGTGGGATCAGGATCCGTCCCTGGTGCATGAGTGGGCTTTTTGGAACCCAGTACCTATGGTGGGTTCAGCCTTGGTTCAGGGTGAGGGGCTTGGACCTGCCTCAACTGAATGTACCAGGCTCTGCCGACTCCCTATGGGAGGCCTTGCCTTGGAGGAAGTGGGAGTGGGGGTAAGGTGGGGAGAAAAGCTGGGGGGCAGGGGGAGAGAGGAGAGAGGTATCTGTGGTTGGTATGTGAAATGAACAGAAAATTTTTTAATAAAAAAAAACAATATACAACAGAAAAGAAAGGAAGTCACAGTGCAGAACGTAGATGGACTAGACTTCTCAATCACTCCCCACCTTATTGTTTTGAGGCAGGGTCTCTTACTGAACCTGGGGGTAGCCAGTTCTGCTAGACTAGTTAGCTAACAGGTCTCAGGAAATGCAGGCATGCACTGCTGCCCCACCTTCTACATGGGTGTGAGGGCATCAAACTTTGGTCCTCAGGCTCACATGGCAAGCACTTTACCAACTGAGACATCCCACCAGCTCCTGGAACCCTGCTGTCCTATGGCCTGTGGCATTCATGCCTACCCATGCCACCATGGCGGCACCAGCAGGGCTACAGACCAGACAAGTGCCAGCCTCTTGCTGCTATCCTTGGGCACCTGACCACATGTGGCATATGCATACGTTCACACACATACATAGACGTAAGTAAAGATAAAAATAACTCTAAATTAAACACACACACACACACACACACACACACACACACACACAGGTCAACAATACATTACCCAAATAAATTCAATGAGTATTGGGCGCTATAAAGAAAGAAGTGTAGTCAAGAAAGAACTCTGATTACAGAGCTGAGATTTGTTATTTTTTTTCACTATTCTTTTTTTAATTAATTTATTTTTATCTTATGTGCATTGGTGTTTTGCCCTGGGTGTCAGGTCCCCTGGAGCTGGAGTTACAGACAGTCATGAGCTGCCATGTGGGTGCTGAGAACTGAACCCGGGCCCTCTGGAAGAGCAGTCATGCTCTTAACCACAGAGCCATCTCTCCAGCCTGTTAATTACTTTTGTTTTGTTTTTGAGGTAGGGTCTCATGCATCCAAGACTCCCACTCACTATGTAGCTTAGGGTGTGACTTTTATCTCCTGATCCTCCTGCCTCTCCCTCCCCAGTGATAGGACAAGTGTGTGCCACCACACTCAGCTGAACAGAGATCCGAATCGGGAGATGAAGCTGTGCACGTGGTTCTCCAGGACAGCACCACTCCAGGCAAAGGCCCAAGGGCAGAAAGTTGACATACTCCACAGTGTGTTGAGAAAGAGCAAATGGAAAGGATATGGGAAACTGTTAGGCCTCCCTACATAATGGAGGCTGGCTTTGAACTCGCTATGTAGTTTCCAGGTTGGCCTCAAGTCTATAGGGATCCTTTCATCTCAGGCTCCTGGTATGGAGTGTGCCGCCATACTTACTTACTTACTTAATCCCTCGCTCCCTCCCTCCCTCCCTTCCTTCCTTCCTCACACATGCTAAGCAAACACTCTTACCCCTGAGCTGCATGCCCAGCCCTTTGAATGTTTGTATAGGTATATGAGTGTGGTGTGTGTGTAATGTGTGTCCAGTTGTGTGTGTGAGTACCTGTGCCTGTATGATTGCTCATAGAGGCCAGAAGAGGACGTCAGGCATCATGGTCTATCATTTTCTGTCTTATTCCTTTGAGATAGTCTCTCTTTTGAAAAGATTTTTACATTGTTTGATTTATGTGTATGTGTGTATGTATGACACATGTGGAGGCCAGAGAGAGGTTTTGGATCCATAGAGCCAGAGTTCTAGACAGTTGTGAGCTACCTAACATGGGAATCGCACTCAGGTCCTCTGGAAGAACAGCAAGTGTTCTGAACCACTGAGCCATCCTTCCGGCCCTAAGAAAATCATTTAAAGTACCTGAAGCATCCAGCAAACCCCAGAAGGAATTCTGTCTCCCCTCCCCCACTTCCATGGACAGTGCTGGGGTTCCAGGTACACAGGTTGTAAGGATTATGTCCTTAATTACGTCACTAGCCTGTGTCCCAGCCTAAAAAGTGGGCGTGCCCTCTGTGCCCTCTCTTCTGTATTCTCTTCCCTCCACTCAGTCTCTCTCTCTCTCTTTCTCTCTCTCCCTCTCCCTCTCCCTCTCCCTCCCTCTCTCTCAATAAAGCTCTAGAAAGGTAACCATGGCTCATGATTCTTCCGTCACCGACACATCCAGCGCTCTCCTCCGTCTGCATGGCCACTGCGGACGGCGGCCAGCCACAAGCACGACGCTTAATCAACACAGGTAGCCACACCCAGCTTTTCACACAGGTTCTGGGAATTGAACTCAAGGCCCCCCGTGCTTGTACAGTAAGTGCTCTCACCCTCTGAGTCATCTCCCCCCCCCCCAAGATGCACTTTCTCTATTGATATTACACACATCTGCATGTCTGTACTTTCCTCATTCCATCCATGCAGCAGATACTCACTGGGGTGCAAAGACCATGTTCAGCACAGGGCCACACTCTGGGGACACAGCCGAGATGAGTAGAATCGTCCCTCTGTATCTTCAGGGACTTTCTGTAGATCCCCGCCTCAGAAGATGAACTAGCCTCTTACAGAAAACCGTGTAGTTATAGCAGAGCATGGTGGCATATACCTCTCATCCCGTTTTTGCCCACAAGTTCAAGGCAAGCCCGAGTAACATTGTGTGCGAGTGTGTGTGCGCACATACAGATCAGAGGACAACTCGTCCAGGGATTGAACTTGGATCATCAGGCTTGGTGACAATTGCCTTTACCCTCTGAGTCACCTCCCTGGCTTCCGTGTTTGAGAACAGGCGACACCGTCTTGAGAAGCACACCAGTGTCTTGGATGTGCACTGTCCTTTTCCTAGGAACCCCTCTCTCCCCTAATACCCAGGCTTAAATCTGTATGAAAGCTCTATCTTGTCTTGGGCGTGGAGCTCAGTTGGTACAGTGCTTGCACAGTGTTCACAAAACTCCAGATTCAATGCCCAGTACAACATAAACTGGGCCTGGTGGCATATACCTGGAGATCCAGCCCTCAAGAGGGGGAAGCTGGAG